TACAACAAATAAAATGATTTTAACATTGTGAAATGAGTTCCAATTTACATAAAATACATTTTAAACTTTTTCTAGAAATATAAATAGTTTTGGCAATTCTTTAGATATTCAATTTTAACAGGGGTAGCATTCAACTTAAAAACTTTTAAATGGTAACTTACTGAATAAATGTAAGGTAAAAGATAAATAAATGTTATATAAATAATTAGGTATAGAATCAGATTATAAAAGAAACAGTAAAAACTAATTAACAGTTTTGTAGACCAAGTTTATGCAGTGCTTGCCTGAGAACTAACGCAGGACCATTATTAGATTTAAACCATGACTCAAATCTTTGAAACTTGATCATCCCACATTGTACACTTCAACCTAATATTTTCACAAAATATTAACCAAGTATTACTGAGATAAATATAAACAGTTTTAAATACTTTGCATCTTCTATGGTAAAATAGATGACTTTTAACACCAGAATGTATAGATACAAAATTATTAGCATCACAATGTGACAGAGGAGCAAAGAATATATCTCTGGGTATTTTGCCCTTAGCACTGTTGTTACAAACAGAGAATAAATTTAGATTGCATAGAAAACTAAAACTTACAGATTAGCTGCGCTCTTTGTCATGGAACCGTGACAATTAAGAAATTTTTAATACAATACACATTGCCTTTATCAAATTTATTTTGATACTTAAAGACACATGCTCTAAAGAAAGATGAGCATGCAAAAGCTTCTCTGGTATAATGTACAAAATGTATGAAAGAAGATAAATTTGATGAAAAAATGTATGTATATGCAACTTTTTAGTATGAAAGAAGACAGATTTGATGAAAAAATGTAGGTATATGCAACTGTTGAGTATTAAAGAAGACAAATTTGATCTCAGAAATAGTTGGCATAAAATTAAATAAGAAACCATTACTATACATACCTCTCGAATCTTGATCATGGATAACACAGTTTTTATACTTGATTGATTCACGGCCTTTTCTTTCTGGAATTTCATATTTACGCAGCCATCAAGCTTTGATAGCACGGTTGGTTTTCGAAGGAGAGATTTTACGGGCAAGAATGCAGAGATGTGTTTTATAGCACTGTAAACACAAAAAAGTAAACTTTGTATATATTCACAAAATTCCGTGTACAGCGTGTGTATAATTTAATGCAGGTACAAAAATCTCTGTCTAATCCTCTGATTCTTCACTGACGTTATCTATGGAAGTGCCTCCGGGATTCAAATAGCGTAGCCTCCGGGATTTAAGTGGCGCGTGCCTCCGGGATTTAAGTGGCGTAGCTTCCGGGAGTTAAATGGCGTGACTTCCAACAACGAGTGTCAAGAATTTAGAAGTAATCAACCCTGCAAAGTTTCAAAACACATGCAACGGATTCAAGCTGCTTTAAGATCCTCAACTGCCTTCAAAAGACTTCAAGATTTTCGAGACAATCAATTCTGCAAAGCTCCAAAGTACCTGCAATGGATTCAAATTGCCTGCAAAATCAACAAAAATGCCTTCAAATCTTCAAGCGTTCTTCAATGCCTCAGGCTCTTCAAATGCTCTCAACTCCTTAAGTCTTCAAGTTGTTCAATGCCTTCAAGCTCTAAGCCTTCAAGTTCTTCAACCTTTCAAGTGTGTTTTTGGAATGAAAACGAAGGCACTATCTATACTAAAAGCTTAACCAAAATTCCTCAATCAACTCCCCTTTTTAGTTAACTAACTAATTAATTAATTAATTAGGAAAATGAACCTTGTCCAAGATCAAGTCTAGGTTCATTATCGTATAATCAAATTCAAATTCAAATCAAATTATAATTATCTAATTCAAATATAATAAAATTAATATTATATTTAAATTATAATTATAATTTAAATTCAAATATGAAATGGGCTTGGGCCAACTAATTGATTAATCCAATGGCCCAAATCAAATCTAATTGGGCTAATTAAATTAAATTAATTTCCATGATCCAATTAATCAAATTGGCCCAATCATCAATTTCAACATTAGCCCAATAACACTTTAATCGGTCATTTATCGGGTTCAAATTTTCGGTGTCTACAAGCACGACTGATTTTCGAAGGAATGATGCTTGAAATTTGTATTGTGATAATATCTTTAATTTTCAAGTGTTTGTATTTGATATCAATAGGTGTTTTATAGTTGTACATGAACTCTGCTATTGAAGGTAATTAATGCTAAAACTTTGGATACCAAACTTTTGGATTCCCGATCAACAACCTTTGGTTATCCGACTTCCTATAAATTATAGGAAATCGGATAACCAAAGGTTGTAGATCGGAAATCCAAAAGTCTATCATTCCTATTTTTTTTAATGCAAATATTTCTTACTATTGTTTAATGCTACCAAAACTCTATCGTTTTAATTGAGCGGGAATTTTTGGCTCTATTGTGTATCTCAAGGTGTGTGGCTTTTTTATATAGTAAGATTAATATAATAAATAAATTTTATTTCACTTAGATTTTAATTAGTAAAAATTTGTTAGTTATTTTTAAAAATATAAATATTGGGCATATGTTTTTGCGCATCGCGCATATAAAAGACTAGTATATATATATATATATATATATATATATATATATATATATATATATATATATATATATATATATATATTTGTGTAAAATCGATTTATTCAATACTACCAAGAAGAATTTTTGCCAAATTAAACCAACCACCGTCGGACCAAGATGATGCCGATCTCACAACAAGCTACAACCGCCCAAAGTAGAATTGTTGTCAAAGACTCGTCGCTGCGCCTGGGAAATATTGCTCGCCCAGAAAAGATTTGCGATGGAAATCGCACACCCACACCTGCTCGTAAACATAAATCTTCCACTGTTACAACCGTTACATAATCAATATCCATAATATCCACATAATTTAATATTCATAATAGTTAGATTAATTCTATATATTTATATGCTTAAAACAAATATTGAATTGCTCTAAAAAAAATACTGAATAAATACAATTTTAATTCTCAAAATATACCCATAAAGTCATGAAAAATAACTTTGAATAATCTTTAAAAAAAAAAAACTTTGAATAATGACTAATAAATGTAAGTTTAAACTAGTATGAAATTTTTGAAAATAACTAGTATGGATATTTTAACTTTTAAATGTATTTGGACATTTTATTATTATTCTTATAATCTTACCGACAAAATACGAAATTGCTTCCTTAAAGGCCGCCACATATGGATGATGGAGGGCTATTAAACACCTTCTTAACTATTTGAAACGTATTTAACTATGATATTATGAAAAAATATAAATAAATGACAAACTCATTATATATATATATATATATATATATATATATATATATATATATATATATAAGTATAGATGTTTTTTTAATGGACCAACTTTACGCCTCTACCATAAGATATCGGATAACATTATGAAAAGTATATTGGATTGATAGAGCACAATACTCCTAAGATAGTATTAGGAACTACAAAATGTTGTTAATAAATAAAAGTAAATAAACTTGGTCAAAGTGACCCAATCAATAAAGTCAACTACCAAGCCCAACTATATATGAGAAAATCGACTTGAAATGTGTCATTTTGTTGAACAATAAACAAGAATGATACTACAATGTAATAGAGCCAGTAGCATTCAAAAAAAAAAAAAAAAAAAAAAAAAAACAAGAATGAGGCACTTTTCAAAGTTGTACAAAATTGCAAATGATTCTCACTTTTTTCAAAATTATTATTCTTTTGATTTATTATTATTATTATTATTATTATTATTATTATTATTATTATTATTATTATTATTATTATTTAAGTGGGACTTGCATTTGTGGTAATCCGTACCACAGTGGCGTAGGAAAATACAACGCACATACGGAAGTCCCACTTGCATTTGGCGTACATCATCATGTAAAACGCAAGTGGGATTTGCATTTCACGTATTAAATAAAAAATAATAATAATTTCGATAAAAAGTGAGAAACTCATTTGCAACTTGCATTTCTGACAAGAAACTCAAGTCCATATGAGTTTTTCCCTATTTTGTACAACTTTGAAATGTGTCTCATTCTTGTCTATTGTTCAACAAAATGGCACATTTTAGTCACTTTCCTCCCACGTAGACGTGGGTAGACTACTACTGTTAATTAGAAGACCACAGGGGGTAAATGACACACTACGCTGTCGATTAGGGCGAGAAGTCAAGAGAGAATACGGGTGCTGATGATGGTTTGAAGAAACTATGTTAAGGAAAAGAAATCACGTATTCATTCTAGCAAATATTTTCTACCTTCATTTAGTCTTGTATTATTGGTTCATTATTATTCTCATTGATTTTGTTTCCTTTTCTTTATCTTATAGTTTGTATATATAGGAGTACATCCTCTGTAATGAAGAAGAGAGAAAACATACAGTTCATTATTATCTATTAACATGGTATCATTCCCAGGTTCTTAAATCTACTCCCGGCTAGTACTCTGACCGACGCCCTCCCCTCGCAAAGTTCCTGCCGTGTGTCGCTGCCGCTATGACGAACAAGGAGGTCGCCGATGCTGACAAGAGGGATGCTCACCACGAAGACGACGATGTCACGATGGTAACGTCGTCGTATCTCTCCATACGATCTTTCTCCCAGTGATAACCCAGGTATGCTTCTAACCCAAGTTGTTATGAAAGGAGATAATTACAATGAGTGGTCTAAATCTATGAGACTTGCTCTTCGTGCCCGGAAGAAGTTCGGATTCGTTGACAGGTCTATACCCTTGCCTGTACCGAATTCTGATGTTGTGGATGATTGGTGGACGAATCATTCATTGTTGGTATCATGGATACGTAACATGATTGAACCAACGTTGCGTTCCACGATATCTCATGTTGAACTTGCTTATACTCTTTGGGATGATTTGAAGGCTCGTTTTTCTGTCATTAATGGGCCCAGGGTTCAACAACTTAAGCGCGAGTTGACGGAGGTCAAATAGAGGGGTCTCACCATAATGGCCTATTATGGTAAAATGAAGAAATTGTGGGACGATCTTGTTGATGTGGATCGTTATCCTAATTGTGTGTGCAAAAATTGCACATGCAAAATTGATGCTGCTTTAGCCGACAAACGTGAAGAAGAGCGTGTTCATCAATTTTTGATAGGCCTTGACGAAGGGGAGTATGGTTCTATTCGCTCACAGCTCTTGTCTCTTGAACCCCTACCTACTGTGAGTCGGGTTTATAATATTTTGGTTCAGGAAGAGACGGCTCGTGTCACGGTTCGTGGTACTAAAGGAGGCACCGGTGATGCTGCGGTGTTTGCCACTATCAAGGAGATTACATGCACCAACTGCAAGAAGTCCGGACATACTATTGACACATGCTTTAAGCTAATTGCTTATCCGGAAGGATGGTCAGGTGGTCGGAACGGAGGACGTGGTGGCCGTGGAGGAGGCCGTGCCAGCAGCCGCCGCGGTGGGAGAGCCGGCAGGAACGACGGCTGCGACATACCCGGGCAGCATGCCGGCGGACGGGTGACAGAAACATGCTGCAGCCACGACGCGTCTTTCACCGCTCTCCCGGACTTCGAAAACCTTACTCCTGAGCAGTGGAATACGGTTCGTCATGCCTTGTCTTTGTCTCCAACAGGGCCAACTTTGAACGAATCGTTGTCAGGTATTTCTTTACCTTGCTGGATTATTGACACAGGGGCATCAAATCACATGACAGGGAACATTAATTTATTGAGTAATATTAAGCAAACAGACCCTTGTAACATTGGTTTGCCAGATGGAAGCCGGGTTATAGCAGTGAAATCAAGAACGATCTATTTGACGGACAATTTGATTTTGATGAATGTTTTATTTGTTCTTGTTTTAAGTTGCAATTTGATATCTGTTTCCCAACTGACGAAGGACTCGAAATGTGAAACACGATTTACAGACAAATCTTGTGTATTACAGGATCTAAAGACAACGATTGGTGTGGGTGAACATAGAGAGGGACTTTACTACTTCAAACAAGATGGAAAACAAAAAGCGTTTAATGCGGTTAAGGAGCATAGTTTTGATTTATGGCATAAACGTTTTGGACACCCCTCATCTCGTGTTTTGTCTTTTGTTCATTTAGCAGGTTCTGTTAAGAACAATTGTTTAGATAATAAATGTTGTGAGATTTGTGTACGCGCTAAACAATCACGTGCTAGCTTTCCTATTAGCATTCATAATTCTAGTGGAATTTTTGACATGGTGCATTGTGATTTATGGGGTCTGTATAAAACACCAAGTCTGAGTGAATATACATTATTTTTGACAATTGTCGATGATCATTCTCGCGGAGTTTGGGTATATTTGTTGCACTCAAAACGTGATGTGGTTCTGATTTTCTAACAATTTTGTGCTATGGTGACTCGTCAATTTGAGAAATATGTCAAGTGTGTTCGGGGTGATAATGTGACAGAGTTTGAAGGGTTGAAAGAATACTTCCGTGAACATGGAATAATATATGAAACATCTTGTGTCTCCACGCCTCAACAAAATGGAAGTGTTGAACGAAAACATCGTCATATTCTCAATGTGGCGCGGTCGCTCCGATTTCAGGCTTCTCTACCAATAAAGTTCTGGGGCGAGTGTGTTTAGACAGCGACATATCTCATCAACCGGACACCCTCTTCATTTCTAGGGGGTTGCTCCATTTGAGGAAATGTATGGACGGGTTCCACCATTATCTCACATTCGTGTCTTTGGTTATAGATGTTTTGTGCATAATCAGAAGCGACATGGAGATAAATTTGCTGAACAGAGTATTCCTGGAACATTTCTTGGCTATCCTCCTAGCCAGAAAGGGTGGCGTGTTTATTGTCCAGACACAGGAAAAAGTATTGTTTCACGAGATGTTATTTTCTCGGAAAATGTGTTCCCCTTTTCGCAAGAAACAGAAGAAGACTCGGAGTCGCCACCTCCTAGCATGGACAACTTCATCCCCGAAGAGGAAGAGGAATGCGTGGAGCTTGTCCGGCCTGCCGTCGGTGCCAGGCCAACCGCCAGACCGGCGACCTGCACGTGGGCGGTACTATTGCCGACAGAGACGAGGTGGCAGTCCCGGAGGTGGGCGGTACTGCTGCCGGCAGAGACGGGATGGCAGCCCCGGAAGCTCCAGTCCCTGTTCTAGTTGATCCGAGCCTTGATCAAGTTGCTGACCCCGATGCACAAGGCAGAGGACGGCGAACGCGTATTCCTAGTGTTCGCCTTGCAGATTATGTAACATACACAGTTATTGGAGCGCCTAACACATTGTGCAAGTATCCCATCACTACCTATATTGGGTATGACAAGTTTTCTTCGACTCATAAATGTTATCTTGCTTCTCTTGATACCGAAGTAGAGCCCATAAATTTTCGTCAAGCAATTCAGTTTGAACCATGGAGGAATGCTATGCATGCGGAAATTGATGCTTTAGAGAAGAATGATACATGGACACTTGTACCTGATCTTAGACACAAGAAGCCACTTGGGAGTAAATGGGTCTACAAAATAAAAAGAAAGTCCGATGAGAGCATTGAGCGCTACAAAGCACGACTGGTGATATTCGGCAATCATCAAGTTGAGGGTCTTAACTTCAATGAGACCTTTGCACCGGTAGTAAAGTTAACGACTGTTCGCACTCTTTTAGCTGTGGCTGCAACGCGTTCGTGGGAGCTACATCAAATGGACGTATATAATGCGTTCCTTCATGGTGACTTAGATGAGGAAGTTTACATGAGGCTTCCACCGGGGTTCGCGCCATCACATTCCGATGTGGTGTGCAAACTCAAGAAGTCTCTTTATGGGCTGAGACAGGCTCCACGGTGCTGGTTTGCAAAATTGTCAGGTGCTCTGAAAAGGTACGATTTCACACAATCCGTATCTGATTATTCGTTGTTCTCGTTGCGCAGTAATCATGTTGTGGTACATGTTTTGGTGTATGTTGATGATCTTGTTATTTCGGGAGATAACACAGTTATGATTGCCAAGTTTAAATCCTACTTGGCCTCTTGTTTTCATATGAAGGATCTTGGTACTTTAAAATATTTTCTTGGCATAGAGGTAGCTCGAAATTCTTTTGGTATTTTCTTGTGTCAAAGAAAATATGCCCTTGATATTATTTCTGAGACAGATCTACTTGGTGCTCGACCACTGGGTACTCCTATGGAACCCAATCATTGTCTTGCATTGTCTGAAGCCCCACTTCTCGATGATCCCAAACCATATCGCCGCCTAGTGGGGCGTCTAGTTTATTTTTCAATCACCCGGCTAGAGTTAGCCTATGCTGTCCATACTCTGGCTCAGTTCATGAAGGATCCCCGTGATGATCATTGGAAAGCAGCGCTTGGAGTAGTGCGCTATCTAACAGGAAGTACCGGTCAAGGTATTTATCTATCCGCTAAAAATAATCTGCAATTAACTGGTTGGTGCGATTCAGATTGGGCAGCTTGTCCTTTGACTCGACGATCTTTGACCGGGTGGTTTGTTCAGCCAGGGGATTCTCCCTTCGCTTGAAAAACAAAGAAACAAACCACAGTTGCACACTCCTCAGCCGAAGCTGAATACCGAGCTTTGGCCGCAGTGACATGTGAATTAAAGTGGTTAAAGGGCCTTCTTCGTTCTCTTGGGATACACCATACGGCTCCTATGAAGATTCATTGTGACAGTACCGCTGCTCTTCACATTGCAGCGAATCTAGTCTTCCATGAACGAACAAAGCACATCGAGGTTGATTGTCACTTTGTTCGTGATGAGCTTTTACAAGGTGTAATACAAACGGAACATGTGTCTCATTGTATTGCTCCCCCCTTGTCAATTGTCATGCGATATGCAAGGAAGGACTAATCCAAATCCTATTCCATTTCATTGATTTATCTTTAAGTGATTGTTCTATAGTTTGTTCTTTAGTACTTCCTTTACTTGCTCTCTTTGCATACTTGTTACTTGCTACACACAATGTTGTTTGCGCACACTTGGACCTAGTTCTTTATAGATCGATTTGTGGGTCGCTTGTGTTCGACCACATATCATTAACTCTAAATTTGCTATCCTTTGAGAACGACAACCACAGAGAATTTACTTTTCTCAACCTACTTTCCACCCCAAGTATACTACAAAGCCCATCAGCGTGGACTTGGGAGCGGTCTGCTCTAATCCACTATGGCCTCACAAAGTTTGTCGCCCGCCGATAGACTGAGATTTGGCACCCCCGTAGTCTAGGCATACCGCTCCCCTCATTTGTTTGTTTTTTTCCTCTCATTTGTTTGTTTTTTTCAAGTTATGTTATATACCGCGTGCCAACTAAGTTCTTAGCACTCTATCTAGAAAAAGGGCCCACATTTGCTTTCGTAATTGGACTCACATTGGTCAAACCTACCCCTTAACTTTAATTATCTTTTGAGTCATGCTTCTAGGCTCATCATAAACAACGTCGAAATTAATTGAGAGATTAAATTAAAACTCGTTCAATAAATAAGAATTAAATTTCTAAAAAATCCAAAAAAATAATTTATGATTTTCCTTTATTTTATTTTACCTTATATTATCCCAAAAGTCATTATCACTAATTTACGACAACGACACTACAGTACACAAGGGTTTTTAACTTTCCCCCCAAAATATTTTTCCGCCATGGAAACACCTCCTCCTCCTCCTCAGCAACAGCAGCCGCGAAAGCGTGGCCGGCCGAAGGGCTCAACCAACAAGCCCAAAGAGGACAGAGAACGCGATTCGCATCCTTCCGGTGGCGCCACCTCTAGGAAGCGAGGCGGGGCCGGCGGTGGCAAGAAGGCCGGCGGTGGTGTTGATGAGAAGTACGCTCAGTGGAAGTCGCTGGTTCCGGTCCTCTACGACTGGTTCGCTAATCATAACCTCGTCTGGCCTTCCCTCTCTTGCCGGTAAAATGCCTTTCTATTTATCCCTGTTTCTGTTCTATGATATTAGAATTTTATCCATTTCTAAAAAATTTAAGCGGCTCTTAATGCTAGTGTTCTACTGTTCGTTGATACATGGACCTATAACTTTGTTGTTTTTGGTTTGCGAACTCAATGTGAAAATTATTTGCAATTTGGTTATAATCAGGTTCGTTATACATATCATGTGTGCGAGACAGTGTAATTTTTGTCATTTTCTTTGAAGTAATATTTAGTTTTGAGTGGAATAGATGGAAAATAACAGTAGTAATTGTTATGGGAAAAATGAATTGAATACTCCGTATTTATTTATTTTGGTATAATAAGTGAACAAGATTCAGAACTGTTTGTCGACTGTAAAAATGGTTCAGGTGGTTAACAGTTTCAGTACATGAGCACACTTAAATCTATCTGCTGCTGGTGATCTCTGTGCATTATCCATGTGTAGCTAAGATGCTGGATTGATAAACCTCCTGCATGTAATTTATTGGATTCCGCTGTTGGGCTGAACAACTGTCATTATACTTTTGTAATTTTGTATTTGTCTTTTCATTATTAAGATTTGTTGTCCATAGTTAATATTTGGATGGAATCATTGATAGATGGGGTCCTGTGATTGAGCAGCATAGTCACAAAAATTGCCAGCGTCTTTACCTTTCTGAACAGGTAAGTCTAATTTTATTCAATAACCTATAATGCCATAATGTTGAAAACCAAGGTTTCATAATATTGATAATTTTTTCTGTTAGTACACATTACTATTGCAGCAAACTAATACGTATCAACAATTTTATAATTTTTGAGAATAACAATTTTATAATTTAAAAAAAATCTTTTATTGGTTTTCATTGCATTTAATTATTGTCCTACATCCTATATACTGGATACATTACATATACTCCATATAAGTTAAGGATTTACTATTTTCATTCATGTACAATAGTAAGCTCTATTTGTCTTAGTCCAATTTCTTTAGTCTTGACTTGATCATTGGGGAAGGTGGGAGTCCAAGCTGTTTGTCGAAGAAGTTGCAATAAAATAGTCGTGATAGTAATGTGAAAATGAGTGGTAGATTTTCTTTAGCACCTTGCTTGGATTGCTTAAATACCTATTACTTCTTCTACTTCTTCACCTCAATAATAATTGTTGTTTAAAGGCGTAAGTTGCTTTCACTCCCTTCTTCGATTTCATCTAGATGCAATTCTTTCTTGCATCTGAATTTGATATTTTTGGCCATTAATTAATACATGTTGAGCTTTTCATGTCTCAATTATTAATGCTCTAACTTTCTTATTTTCCGCCATTTCACCAGACAGATCAGTCAGCACCAAACACTTTGATTATAGCTAACTGTGATGTGGTTCGGCCCAGAATTGCAGCAGAGAATCACATAGCACATGTACCTTAATTTTTTTATTTTTATTTTTTGGTCTTAAGCAATATAACGTACTCCCC